CACACACACACACACACACACACACACACACACACACACACACACACACACGCACACACAAACACACTAAACACACATGCACTCACCTTGGGGCAAATGCCAAGAAATCACCACTACTCCCAGCGCTTATCAAAGACTAAATACTTAAAGCGTTAAGTATAATCGGGCCATAATTGCCCTAGCAGAGCCAGCGATCAGCCTTAATAGTTATGATTTTACCCTTCTGCAAGTCTAGATCAAATATTTGCTCACCCACAAGTATGGATACACATGCGCTGGGACCGAAACGGGAAATCCGCGTGGGCTCCAATTTGTGCTCAATATGGCGGCTCTCCTACTCCTTCATTCATAATACCAGTGGTATCGTGACAAATATCGATTTTAGATTCGGGGCCACCCAGCTCTGAGGGAAAAGGAAGGAGGGGGGGGGGGAGGAGGAGAGAGGAAAACCGCGGCAATTTTGTGTCCTGTGTGCTCATCCCGTGGCGGGAAACCCATACACGCCAGGCAGCACTTTCCTTTTCCTTCTTGTTTCTTTAGCAAACTAATAAATGTGAGGCAGCGTGTTGGAATCAGGCTCTCGTCAAAATAACCAAAGTGAAGAAACTTGCATTTTTCCGCAGGTTTGTGAATTTTTATCAATTTTTTGTTTTTTGGCTCAACACCTTATATGCCCAATAAAGAATTCATTTCTGTGTGGATTTTTCTGAAAAACGTTGATTAAAGGCACAATAAATGTAAATTTTAAGTTACCACGGACTCTTAAGCTAAGGAAATAACTAATCTTTGGCCACCATTCTCTCATTAATTTAAACTCTGAAAACAGGCGACCTCCACCTCTTTCATTCGCAATTATCTCGACTTGTATTCCAGTAAATGGATATTTTTTTCATCGAAATAAAGACAAGCGAACAAGCTTTAAGATGATACCAATAACTATACCGGCCCAATAATTGACGAGAGCCTGATTCCACTACGCTGCCTCACAAAATAAATGTAATGTAGGTTTTTTTATGCCCCCTGTCGGCACAATTTAGACCATTTAGGAAGCAGGTTTGTTTGAGGCAAGCGAGGCAGGGGGAGATCTAGGCCCAGAGCAACCTATTCGGGGAATCTGAACAAGTGGGTGACAGGGAAAGATCAGGGAAACATGGCTTTTTTAAGAGCATCCGAGCAAAGGAATGAATGGAGAACCATGATCGCCGATGTCTGTCGCAGATCTGGCACTGGATGATGATGGTGAGGAGGCAGGTTTAAGTTACTGGCTGTCAGGGCCAAACCATGTTTAGGGAAATACCAACATTCCAGCAGAAAGACCGAAATACACGATACAAATTTTCCGCTACTCGGGAATCGAACTTGGGTCCCCTGTGTGCGACAGTGAACGTCCAACGTCTACGACACACCTCAGACTTTGGTGCAAACTTTTGAAAACCAACCCCCCCCCCCCCCCCCCAAAAAAAAAACAAAACAACCAGACTCTCTGCCAGCAACGAATCACAGCAGTGGACAATAACAACATAACTCCTGTAAATCGTGCCCTCTCAACTCGGGTTCGAGGATCCTGTGTCATTTTTTATTTTTAGTAGAGGTTTTACAGCACTCTCAATTGCATAAGGTCATAATATGAGCGCCAGAAGATTAGAGGTTTTACAAGAGGGCAACAAACATAAAAAAGAAGAAGGGGAGATAAGGACGACAGATGTTTGACAGGAAAGAAGAAGCAAACCGCACCAGAGCACCCGCCAACCACCCAAGATCCTGTGTCAGAATCTCCGTAAGCTTAACAGGACTCGAAAAGAATACTCGGGGCAAATGGTCAGGGAGTAGAATGCTGCATTTTTAAAGATCATAATCTGTTTGCCAACTTGCTACCTACAACCCGCTTACAAATACCCCCAACATACCTGCCATGTTTTAAAACCGAGTTGTTTTGTGGAGTTTTCGTGGCCTTAAGCCCATGTTGGTTGGTCCTATCTATCGGAGATGATATGAACGTTAAATCTGGACG